GGCGCTTGCTTTCAAGGTTCTCATTCCTTGGTTTGCTCGACAGTGTGCTCTGCTCTGGGGCCTCTCAGTAGGCTTGAACTGATAATCTTAGAGATATACTGACTAAAAATATAATTTGATTTTAAGAGTTAACACAATACTATTATCAGTGTTCAGTGACTGTATACACTGATATGCCACCTATAAAATAATAATGGAATTAAACGGAAGGTGTTCAATACACACAGTATGTGACTTTTTTTATAAATGAAATCAGGTGTTTATGCACTTTTTTAAAATACTTCATCATTAATGTGATATTTACACAAAACTTTAGGTATGTAACAATCTAACTTTCACAGTAGCTATCACAATTGTGTAAACACGATGTAATACTGACGTTTTTGTTGTTCTTGATTGCGTTTAGACAGTCGGAATGCTTCATTATTCTCGCATTCTTTATTTTATGATACGTTTGGTATTCGACGATCTTGATATTGTATAGATGCTCTTGAAGTGTCGCTTAGAATTTGATGATTTTTGAGGTATCTGGAGAAAATTTCGTGTTTCTTGATAGTGATTTTCAAATTTGAATAATTCAGTGGCTGATATGGTTCTGTTCATTCACTGTACAGTACTGATTGGTGATTTCTGATTTTGATTGAAATATGATAATCTTGAAGATGAAGACTGCTAAAATGTCCAAGATGATTGTTCAGGTTTACTCTTGATTGTTTGGTTGAAGGTGGTTCTATGTAGCTTCTTGACTGATAATAATCTTGAATTTTATACATGGTGATATGTTAGATTGATGTTGATGTTCAGGATGATGGACCGTATAGTTTCATGTTCGTAAATAGTGATACTTCAGTTGATGGTAATTTTCCTTGAATCAGCTGTTATTTTTGTTGATGGAGATGACTTTGTTCCCAGACTCGTATGTCTTCATCAGAACAGTCTCTAATGTTGAAGTCTTTGTATCCCAGAATCACATCTGTTCCAATGTTGTCCGTTACCACTACTTTCAATGGTCTTGATATATAGGGCGACTTCAAATAAATATAAGCTGTCCAAAATCGCATAAAAAAATCTTCTCTGTTTATACAGTAAACCATTTCTCCGCTATAATCTGATTTTTCTAAAACATTTTCACGTACCAAAGTGATATTTGATTTTCTATTTAATTGCATTTGTGCTGGTTTCTTGTTTATCAAACATTTAGTTGACTTTACACAATATTTCTGACTTGTTGCTCTGTGGAATTGATCATAATCTATATATTTATTGTCCTCTAAGAATGAAAATTCTTTATCCACAGTTTGCCTATCTATTATTTCACAATCTGTCTTTTTCATACACTGAGTTGCTTTTGTCTCGACTGATGTCATTGTTGGAACAGTGATATCCTTTGCTTGATTGATTTTCATTGTTTCTGAGTTTGACTTTTTCTCTGTTTCAGTGGCTGCTGTCTTTTTCGTTTCAACTTTCTTGCTTGTATTACTACTTTTGCTGGATTCTAGCTCTGCAATCACAATTTCGTTATTAATTTTTTTAGTTCCTGGACATTTCAATTGGTTTTTTCCTATAAACATGATATGTGGAGCTGTAACTTTTCCTTGATTCTTTCTCCAGTAGCACAGTGCACAATCTAGAGTAGGAATACCTTCTGAATCCATTGTAACTGAATTAGTTTTTGCAAACAAGGATCTTTTCTTGTCTTTTAACATCTGTTTCCCAACACAGTGTTTTACAATATGTCCGAAAGCCTTACAAAAGTGGCACTTTTTAAGGTTATTCTTTTGTTTATTTTGCCACTTTTTATTGACCAAGTCTTCAATATAACTTGAATATTTAGGATCTCTGTCGCAGATAGTTGCAGAACTGTGCTGGTACTTACAAAAAATGCACATCTTGATCTTCTGGTTACTTATTGATGTATCTTTCATTGTTGTCGCTGAAGATACTTGCAAGACAGTGTTCTTACTTTTTACCAACCTTTTAGACGACATTCTGATAAACGTACATCAATGCAAAAAATGTCACCGCAGTAAGAAAACTTAGCATACCTTTATAAATAAAATTAGTTCATAGTCTGCTGGTTTCCGAAACAATAATCGTCACAATTCTGATTTAATTTACAAACAAGATTTTTAATATTTTTGATATGTAGCTTCGGTAAACATGAAACTTCCTGAATTCGCAAAACTCGGAGATATGGTGTGTGGCAGGGCGTAGATGACACACCGGTTTTCATTGGTCGGCAGCTGACCTGTCGGCGCTTGCTGTGTTAATTATAGGCTCTGCTCGGGTAAAAACGTTGTATTGTACACTGTTTTCCGCATGTTTATCTTACCTTGCAAGAAAAATTGTTTTCATATGATTGAGGTCCGCGTGGTTTCGAATTTCCTTCGGACAAGCACCCCACTTGGAATGAACCAAAACGTAGACTTGAAATGTACCTTGGTTCGGCTTGGAAAGAACCTTGGTTTACACCAACTTCAACGTCTAGGGTTGACACACTAACGCCACTCAGCTTCAAAGTACAATCTGTCAGTTTATTCTGGTCCATGTATTCAACATGCTTAAACAATTATTCTCAATTCTATCACTCGCGACATATTCAAACATTAACCATTCTCGCGACATAAAAACTACATCTTCAATTACTACAACCTTCTTCCCTGACTTCTGATGATCGACTGACCACGAGGCTAGCTCGGGCTTCGCCTCGCTTACTCCAACGGCCACAAGTAACTCGTGCCGTAACTTGTAGCACGGACTTCCTGCTTGCCACAATGTACTCGTGGAGACCATGCGAAGCAGGGTCATCACACATGGCTTACGTAAATTGTTTCTTGAAATTTTTGTGTCACGACTTACATAAAATTGTTTATGGGTATCTGTAACAACTTTTGTAAATTGTTTATGAGTATCTGGTAATCTGGTAATTTGGTAATCTGGTAATCTGGTAATTTGGTAATCTGGTAATCTGGTAATCTTAGTTTCAGCTTCATGGCAAACGGGTCACCCCATAGTTGCTCCACTCCTGTGCCAATGAAAAACACACAAAATGTTTATCACAGTTCAAATGAACTCCACAACTCACAGTGTCAGGCCATGCACTCAACTCAGAAGCTGGGCAACGAAACTATATCCTTCCAGTCTACAAATGGAGCAAAAATGCACCGGCCACCGTCTGGCAGAAGCAAAAATAATTTGCCGCGGCTAAAAAAGTGGCCATGCCTAGCGTCCATTTTGACCTGAAGCATTATATGAGGGTTAATAAATGGTCACCCCAGCAGTATCCCCAATATTAGCTGGGGAAGGGACTTAGAACATTACATCCACCAGCAAGCGTCGCCCCTGCAAGGACCTGACTGTCTTCATTAACGACTTTTCACCCAACAGCCATGCAGTTCTTTGGCACGAAGGAGACACCTTGAACTTAGGTTTCGGACTGGCGACTTCCTACAAGATGTTATGTTATGTTATCACAAACGACATCACTGCACATTGGGCATTCCCATGCGTGCTCTGTCCTCCGATGCAGCAGCCACTCCAAAGTACTTCTACTAACTGTTCCCATGAGAAGCTGGTTATATTGTCTCCTATCTCGGCCTCGAAGACGGCAAAGACATTCCTCACCCTGCTTTACTCCCATGTCACGCAATCGTGTTAGTGTCAGGGATTCCTCATTATCCATTAGCCCAGTCCATGCAGCGTTGAAGATGTCTGCTTTGTTCATGCTTTTTCCCGCAATCCTTAGTGCAGTACTTGCTAGTTGGTTCGCTCGCTCATTTCCCTTTACGCCTGCATGACCCGGTGTTTAGATCCAGGTTACGGAGGTTAAGTGCGATTTTTGAATGCTTTCTACCCAATTGAACCGCATACTGCCTGTTTCAATCTTCTGAAGCATATTCATAGAGTCTGACACAATTACTGCCTGTGTGACGGTTTGCTCGGATACCCATGCTTATGCTCTAGAAGCAGCGGCTATATCCATGGTCATGCTTGACGTGGTTGTCTGGTAAGCGCCGCTGTCCCTCTGTTTTGTTTCCACCCTTCTTTGCGTTGTGTATGCCCATGCTAACCTTGATCCGCGCTTAACAGATCCATCTGTGTAAATGATGATATATTCTGGGTCTGAATGCTGATCTTTCAGTTCCCTTACTTCTGTGTCTACGGCCGCAGGAATGTGATCTCGGCAGTACCTTCCGAGTGTGATGACAACCTTAGAGATGCCATGCATGTCTACTGGTGTATTTGTCCATTCTTTTCCATGACTGATCACGTCTAGGTCGCATACTTGCTGCATTAAATCCTCAGCCTTTGCCATCCAAGAGCGCCCTCTTTTGAGACGCACTCCTTTTGTGTGGTGTATAGCTTTGTGCAGTGGGTGGTTAACGTCTGCCGATACCCTCATTTACGCCTTGACCCATGCCACTTTGTAACAGCAAGTCAATGTCGGCAAACCCAGGACATAACGCAAGGTGTTACAGGAGGGTCTGTGGATATACCTGTAACATGACTTATGTAAATTGTGTGTGGGTATACCTGTAACATGACTTATGTAAATTATGTGTGGGTATACCTGTAACATGACTTATGTAAATTGTGTGTGGGTATACCTGTAACATGACTTATGTAAATTGTGTGTGGGTATACCTGTAACATGACTTATGTAAATTGTGTGTGGGTATACCTGTAACATGACTTATGTAAATTGTGTGTGGGTATACCTGTAACATGACTTATGTAAATTGTGTGTGGGTATACCTGTAACATGACTTATGTAAATTGTGTGTGGGTATACCTGTAACATGACTTATGTAAATTGTGTGTGGGTATACCTGTAACATGACTTATGTAAATTTTTTGTGGGAATTCCTCTGGCATGGCTTAGGTAGCATAAATTATTTGTGGACAATTCTCTGGTTTGACTTACATAAATTGCGTTTAATTTTGATTGGTTTACATAAAACATCTTTTGACCAGTTTTCACTTGCTTTTTCTGACTCCAGACACATGAGAGCTGGTCAGATGATGTACAGTCGACATGGTGTCATGGCTGGTGTACAGGACCATGATAGACCCAACTCAACCACAAACAGATTTAGACAAGATCCGTCATCCATCAACAGCAATATCTATCGCAATCAAACAAATACTTATAGCTCCAATAATTCAGTTTACGACTCCGGCCCGCCCACCGCCCAAAAGTACCTTGACCAGGATATCAGGCCTCCAGCACAGCTGAAGCAGACGCCAGGTGAGTGCAGGGCTTTTGAGTGTTCAGCTAAGAACTGACAACACAGCACTCAGGGCATTCCCATAAGTACTTCGTACTCATTTTCAGCAGCAGCGAAGAGTTCCTGTTCTGATGATGCCAGTAGCACTTTGATTACATTTCCCTCTTCCCTTTCCTTTGAGTGTACAGTTTTGACCAGATTCCTTCTTCACTCTTAGCTGTACCATTCTATCCAGGCCAAAATGATCTGTTTGTTCCTCTACATTGTTCACTTGCTGCCAAAGGACCACATCTAGCTTATCAAGCATATTCATCATACATAGGTGCAGAACCAGCCAGTACGTTCGCCTGTTCACTTCCCAACACTCCTGCATGCTCCAGAGAATATTTATTGACCCAGAGGAGATAGTGACTTTTGCTTGCAATTTGGCATTCAAGAAAAAAAGACAAAACAGTAATTTATTCAAGTCCTGATAAAAGAGGACAGACAATAAATGGATGAATATAACATTTGAAATCAAACTTTTAAAAAGACTTTAAAAGTTCTGCACATCAATTTTTACAAGGCCAACTTTTGAATTTCTCGTTTCCTTATTTAATACATTTTTCATGTGTGGACTGGAATGTCACTTTTACTTCCAGTGGATCGGAACATCATTTTCACTTCTAAAATTAATTTGTGCATTTTGATTATTTTTTTCTTTTTTTCTCTCCTTTTTTTTCTTTATCTTCTTCTGTTCTTCTTCTTGTGTCTTTTATCTTATTGCCCTCCTCTTCATCCTTTTTCTGTTCAAATTTTAGAGTCAGTAAGGTTATTTGTCACAGTCGATGTCTACATTGCCTAGTTGACCATGTTCTTAGTGCTCTTGTATTCATGGCGAGGCGCAGACGCCGTCTGGAGGTGACAGGTTCAATTCCCGGCACGGTAACTATAGCTTTTGATTTTTATGTTGTCTAGTGTGTTCTTCTATCTTTCTACTTCTTTCTATGAGTGCCGATCAATACACTTTCTGTTACTCGATTAATTCATTCTACATTTGTTATGTGCTCTGCAGAATTGAACCCTCCCCTTTTACAACGTGATGGACCACCTGTTAATTACAGCGATATGCTCAATCTACACCAGCGGTACCAGCAGCGAAATGGCCACCTGACAATACCTTCAGGGTAAGTTGTTCATCTTCCAGGGCCTTGTACACTGGTATTGGTGACCCTGTCTCTCCATGACTATACCTTCAGGGTAAGTTGTTCATCTTCCAGTGCCTCGTCCAGTTGTTCATCTTCCAGGGTCTTGTCCACTGGCATTGGTGACACTGTCTCTCCATGATACCTTCAGGGTAAGTGTCCAGGGCCTCCACTGGTATTGGTGACCCTGTCTCTCCATGACAATACCTTCAGGGTAAGTTGTTCATCTTCCAGGGCCGTGACCCTGTCTGTCCAGGGTAAGTTGTTCATCTTGGTGACCCTGTCTCTCCATGACAATACCTTCAGGGTAAGTTGTTCATCTTCCAGGGCCTCGTCCACTGGTATTGGTGACCCTGTCTCTAAGTCGTTCATCTTCCAGGGCCTTGTGACATGACAATACCTTCAGGGTAAGTTGTTCCATCTTTCCACTGGCATTGGTGCCTCTCTCCATGACACCTGGCATTGGTGTCCACCCTGTGACCCTGTCTCTCCATGACAATACCTTCAGGGTAAGTTGTTCATCTTCCAGGGCCTTGTCCACTGGTATTGGTGACCCTGTCTCTCCATGACAATACCTTCAGGGTAAGCCTTGTCCAAGTGACACTGTCTCTTCATGACAATACCTTCAGGGTAAGTTGTTCATCTTCCAGGGTCTTGTCCACTGGCATTGGTGACACTGTCTCTCCATGACAATACCTTCAGGGTAAGTCGTTCATCTTCCAGGGCCTTGTCCACTGGTATTGGTGACCCTGTCTCTCCATGACAATACCTTCAGGGTAAGCTGTTTATCTTCCAGGGTCTTGTCCACTGGCATTGGTGACACTGTCTCTCCATAGCCTTCGTTCTCTTCTTCTTCTGTTTCCCCAGTGACCTCATCTGTGTGTTAGGGGTACGCTCTTTCTAATGTGTTGCAAAAGTCATCTTTCATTCCTTTAATCATTTCTTATTCCAACTTTTGTATAACTTTCCTTTGCTCTGTGCTTATTGTATTTCTTTAGCCTGGCTCTCAGTGGCAGTTGGTGCCGGGGATTCTCATCCGGATTCATTCCTAGTCTTCTTCAAAGTTCTTCATTTCCAGTTTTATCTCTCTTTTACTCCTGCACCTCTTCCGAGACATCTCAAGTCAATTGTCGTGATTTTGCGCTGATTAGCAAGGGTCCATGTTTGACACTGGTAGCGTTGAGTTGGCCAAAGATTTGCCTTCCTTTGCTCTCTAGTGTTTATCAACACGCTCTGTGTTCCTGATTGGCTGTTTAATTAACCAACTGTCTGGTTATAACCCTTTACCCAGGCAGTCTATAAAGACTTTACTGGCTGTTTGAGTTGGAGTGGCTCAAAGGCATTATGTCTGCTTCGGTACTAAAGTCTCTAGGTTAAATCCACATAAGAGTAGTATTATCAAGCAAATTTGTTTTTGCGTGTGTATTTTCCACATGATATTTTACTCCTGCCTGATCTGTGAGTAATTTATCAGATGCCTGTCTCAGAAAAAACCTAAAAAACTATCATCCGAGCCCTTGAGGTCCATTGCTGCAGATATCACCTGCTTCCATTCATTCCTGTGTTTGGCCTTCTCTTTCCAGTTGGTGACTCAGAGTATTTGTTGGTCTGCCTGTATATTATCTCTCCACATTCTTCTTGGTCTGCCTCGTGGTCTACTCACATTGAACTATTTTGTGATCTCAGTTTTTGTCTCTCAGTTGTCTGCCATTCTCTCTATGTGCCCTAACCACTGCAACTGTAGAATTTTGCTCACGTGACAAATCCTGTGGCAGCTGGGGGCTTGTCTTACCTGGCCATGTGTATATATGTTGCAGTCTAATATTTCTCATATATTTTATATTTATGAATACTTTGTTTGATATGTTGTGTTCAGTTGTGTCTTACATTTGTGTATATGTTGTTAGATATGTTGCAGCCGATATGTGTCTCATACATTACCATGTCAGTGGTGTTCAGTATTTTTGCAGCCGGTTGTGTCTTATGTGTGTGTAAAAGTTGTTAGATATGTTGCATCTGGTTGTGTCTTATATTTGTGTAAAAGTTGTTAGATATGTTGCGTCTGGTTGTGTCTTATATGTGTGTATATGTTGTTAGATATGTTACATCTGGTTGTGTCTTATATGTATGTATATGTTGTTAGATGTTTTACATCTGGTTGTGTCTTATATGTGTGTATATGTTGTTAGATATACTGCATCTGGTTGTGTCTTATATGTGTATATATGGTTGTTATGTTGCAGCCAGTTGTGTCTTATATGTGGGTAAATGTTGTTAGATATATTGTGTTGGGTTGCATCTTATATGTGTGTATGTGTTGTCAGATATGTTGCAGTTGGTTGTGTTTCATATATTACCATGTATATTGTTCAGTATGTTGCAGCCGTTTGTGTCTTATATTTGTGTATATGTTGTGTCCGTGTGTGTATATGTTGTTAGATATGTTGCAACTGGTTGTGTCTTATATTTGTGTATATGTTGTTTGATATTTTGCAGCCGGTGTTGTTAAATTTTGTGCTGCTGTTTGTGTCTTATACTTGTGAATATGTAGTTAGATATTTTGCAACCAGTGGTGTCTTATATTTGTGATTATGTTGTTAGATATCTATGTTGCAACCAGTTGTGTCTTATATTTGTGTATATGTTACTAGATGTTGCTGCCTCTGTATATTCCAGAGCCGTGTTGTGAGGAAAGAACGAATTGACCCACCGCCTCCTAACAAGCATATCATACAAGTAAACTAATTAGGGGTTTTTCTTTTGAAGTCGGAGTGCATCTACCTGCGAGTTGAGGAACCAACAATCTGCACACAAATGTCCCAGATCTATAAAACGGATGTGCACACAAAACTAAAGTTCTAGAACAAGTCTAAAGTCCAGAAAAGGACAAACAACCAGAACTTTCTTTTGAAATTTTCAGCTGGTGAATTTGAAGAAGAAGAAAAAAGAAGATATGTTGTAGCAGGTTAGTATTGTCTATGTCCTCATTAATTAAATTTACAACCGAAAAACACAGTTTTGATTTGAATTTGGTTCATATTTGACCCAAAAAAATTAGGTACAGATCTAGGGTCAGAAACCGTCGAGAATATAAACCAGCATTCAAGGACTGTCCAAAATAATCTCCAGTGGATTGCTGGATTGTAGACTCAGCCAACAGAATGTATGCAGTTTTTGTCTACACTGTTAGCAGTTTGGGAACTCTTTATCTGAGAAAATTACTGTTTCATTAGTCATGCCAGATAAGCTATGACATCCAAGTTAGTCCTAGCATTCTGCCATTTTTTTATGTATTTGTAAATGTGTCCAGGAAAGCTGTAATGGTATACTTTTTTCCAATCTTGCCTCAATGTTTAGACATAAAAATGTAAGCTTTTTTATTTTATATTATTTCATTTTCAAAATACAATAAAAGTAAACCCTCAGTATTGGGAACTGGCTTTACAGTTGCTAGGTTTGACTTCTAAATTAGAATACAGTAAAGAATTTATGATAATCGTTCCAAATTAAGAAACTGTTGTTGAATTTAAAAATAATTGTTACCTCTAAAATACCTAGTCCAAAACATGTTATCTTGCACTTGATTTAGAACAGATAGGGTACACTTGGTTTGCTTTGTTCTAGTTTTGCTCAAGCTTATCCATTTCATTTGTATTCAGAGTGTTTCTGTGATTTCTTAATTCTGGAATTTTTTTCTTGATTTTGCAGTTGTCAGAGTTCTGTATTTTAATTTATTTTGCACATGCTTAAAATGTGTAATTTTAGATTGTACAGTAGTGTGTATAACATGACAGTTTTATAAAACTGCTATGAAGTGGATTTGAATCTAAAACTTCAGGCCAACTGGCAAGTATCTAATCATTCATTACAGTGACTGCCTGGGCAGAGGTGTAACAGAGAGCATTAACATATAATTTCAGACTGCCACATGATTCATCAGTTGTGAACTGAACATTTGCTGGAAGAGACACACATTCATAGAAAGTTGTTTGGTTACAGAGACACGCATTCATAGAAAGCTGTTTGGTTACAGAGACATACATTCATCGAAAGTTGTTTGGTTACAGAGACACACATTCATAGAGAGCTGTTTGGTTACAGAGACATACATTCATAGAAAGTTGTTTGGTTACAGAGACACACATTCATAGAGAGCTGTTTGGTTACAGAGACACACATTCATAGAAAGTTGTTTGGTTACAGAGACACACATTCATAGAAAGTTGTTTGGTTACAGAGACACACATTCATAGAAAGCTGTTTGGTTACAGAGACACACATTCATAGAAAGCTGTTTGGTTACAGAGACACACATTCATAGAGAGCTGTTTGGTTACAGAGACACACATTCATAGAAAGCTGTTTGGTTACAGAGACACACATTCATAGAGAGTTGTTTGGTTACAGAGACACACATTCATAGAAAGCTGTTTGGTTACAGAGACACACATTCATCGAAAGTTGTTTGGTTACAGAGACACACATTCATAGAGAGCTGTTTGGTTACAGAGACACACATTCATAGAAAGCTGTTTGGTTACAGAGACACACATTCATAGAAAGTTGTTTGGTTACAGAGACACACATTCATAGAAAGCTGTTCTGTTACAGACACACATTCATAGAAAGCTGTTGGTTACAGAGACACACATTCATAGAAAGCTGTTCTGTTACAGACACACATACATTCTGTTACAGACACACAATAGCTGTTGTTGGTTACAGAGACACACATTCATAGAAAGTTGTTTGGTTACAGAGACACACATTCATAGAAAGCTGTTTGGTTACAGAGACACACATTCATAGAAAGCTGTTGGTTACAGAGACACACATTCATAGAAAGATGTTGGGTACAGAGACACACATTCATAGAGAGCTGTTTGGTTACAGAGACACACATTCATAGAAAGTTGTTTGGTTACAGATACATACATTCATAGAAAGCTGTTTGGTTACAGAGACACACATTCATAGAAAGTTGTTTGGTTACAGAGACACACATTCATAGAAAGCTGTTTGGTTACAGAGACACACATACATTCATAGAAAGCTGTTTGGTTACAGAGACACACATTCATAGAAAGCTGTTTGGTTACAGAGACACACATTCATAGAAAGCTGTTTGGTTACAGAGACACACATTCATAGAAAGTTGTTTGGTTACAAAGACGCACATTCATAGAAAGATGTTTGGTTACAGAGACACACATTCATAGAGAGTTGTTTGGTTACAGAGACACACATTCATAGAAAGCTGTTTGGTTACAGAGACACACATTCATAGAAAGCTGTTTGGTTACAGAGACACACATTCATAGAAAGTTGTTTGGTTACAGAGACACACATTCATAGAAAGTTGTTTGGTTACAGAGACACACATTCATAGAAAGTTGTTTGGTTACAGAGACACACATTCATAGAAAGCTGTTTGGTTACAGAGACACACATTCATAGAAAGCTGTTTGGTTACAGAGACACACATTCATAGAAAGCTGTTTGGTTACAGAGACACACATTCATAGAAAGCTGTTTGGTTACAGAGACACACATTCATAGAAAGCTGTTTGGTTACAGAGACACACATTCATAGAAAGCTGTTTAGTTACAGAGACACACATTCATAGAAAGCTGTTTGGTTACAGAGACACACTTTCATAGAAAGCTGTTTGGTTACAGGGACACACATTCATAGAAAGCTGTTTGGTTACAGAGACACATATTCATAGAAAGCTGTTGGTTATCTCAACATGTTCTCATATTCGACCTGCATCAAAAACTATCTAATCTATGTAGACAGGACTAAAACAATTGTAAACTAGAAGAAGAGAAAGAAAAGAAGAGCTGAAAAAAAAATTCAGCAGAAAGGAAGGTGGTTACTCTTTCTAATATTATGTTACTAACATTTTCATGTCTCTGTTATACTTGTTGAAAAATACATACATGCACGCACACACACACACAGAGAAAAATATATATATATATACATGCACACTCATGTTAATAAAACTTTTACGGTTTTCATTTGAAGCCTATATATTTGTATCATCATCATCGGGCGCATTGCCGACTGGCGTGGGACGATCATGCCTCCCCACAATCTGTGATGTTCTGCAGCATGTATTAGTTCCTGTGCTGACACACCTCCATGCCATGCTACAAGACAGTTAAGAATCTTCTCTTTTGTTTTCCTCTGTCCCTTCTTCCACAGATCTTTCCAGTGGTCACAACATGTACATATATATAAATATATATTTCCTGACCTGGTAAAATTTACAGTTGACAAACTCAGTGTTGTTTCAAACGATATGTAATCACTATGTTTGTTTTTATCTTATTAGGACTACAGCCATATCTCTTCCTGGCCCTCTGGCATCGCAGTCTGCACACGTTCCGTCTGCACACGTCCCGTCTGCTGGCCAGAGCAGTTCCATCATTTTACAACCAATCACTAAACAATACATCCTGGACTGTAACAAGTGTCTTACGGAACCAAACACAGAATACATTGGTGCCTCCTGGCGACTCCAGCAGTCATCGGTGGTGGTGATGGGAATACTTCTTTGATTAAACTAGGGACATTTTTCCCAGTCAACCGGTCTCTCTGAGAATGTTTCACCATGTGCTCCTGAAATGTGTAAAGAAGGAAAAAACAAAAATAATTAGTGTGAATAATTTTTCACTCCATCAATTGCATGTTAAACCTGTATAATTGTAGTGAGCATGTATCTGTTGGTTTGTATTTTTATTAAAGTGCCTTTAAATAATGTGGGTACAAACAATTCATTGCACCGCCATGCTCAGGTCCCCAAAGAAAGTCGCCGTCGCCAAACCCAAGTCCTCTAAAAAAGTGGCCGTCGCCCTGCACAAGTCCATAAAGAAAGCCACAGTTGCCAAGAAGCCTAATTTTTATTATCTGGCATATTTCGTTGTATCTCATTCTGCGCATTACTACAGAGTTACATCTGCATATAGGTTATTTGCGTATCCTGTACAGGACGTTGCAGAACCAACCCCAGCAGCCCCCTGGCTGTTGTGTGGTTTCTCTAGGCAAATTTACGTCCAGTCGTGTGCATCAGCATATAGTGACATGTAATATCAGGAATTTTTTCCACTGAAATACATAAATCACATCATTCTTCTCTGGTGGAACCACAGTGTCATGGCTGGGAGTTCAAGATGGCCGTCTGATTCATCATGGCAATTTCAAATTTACCATATGATTTTTGTTTTTGTCATCATTTGTATTGATGATCTGCTGGTTGTGAATCCTCTGAAGAATGTTATGTTTGAATGCGCTGAAGTCTGATTCAAGGACGTTCATTGAAGTTGTCCAAGTCCTGAAAAAGGCTTGCATATCAGTCTTGGAAAACCCCCGTGTGGGTTCCGGGGCCTCATTGTGGGAAAAACAAGAATAGACCCACTGCCTCCCCAAAAGCATGTCGTAAGAGTCGACTAATTGGGGAGCTTCCTTTGAAGTCGGAGTGCATCTGCCGGAGAGGCAAGGAACCAACAGTCTGTATTCAACAGAATGAGATCTGTAAAACTGATGCACACGCAACACTCAGGTTCTGGAGCAGGACTGCAGTTCAGTAGTGGACGATCAACCAGATCTGCCAGAGTGTACAGCTGGTGAACGCGAAGAAGAAGAAGAAGAAGTCTTGGAAAAGGCTTGCAACTGCCAAATCAGGTTGGATTGAAGTTTTTCTTCTGACTCAGTACCATAGTACCATCACCGTGATGACTTTGCTGCAGAACTGTCCTTCCCACTTCCTCACCCAGAAAGCAGTGGGCTGTACCAGACTAGTAGTGAATCTTCACGTCTGCAGAGGCCCATTAGAATGTAACCTGGGTCACCACATGCACAGCACAAGGGGTGATGCAGTAGGCTTTGGGTGTTTCTGCAGAGGTGTATTAAAATGTAACTGGGTCATGACTTGCCACAACACAAGGGGTGGATGTGATGGCTTTGGATGTTTCTTTGACAACGCTGCAGTCCAATGTTGAAAGGGAATTTTTGTATTGATCTTCTGCTCCTTCTTAGCATTCCCCAACTGTGAACTCTGGCATGTTACAGATCTGGCTTATTTGTATGCAGACTGTTGATACCTCACCACTCAAGAAGATGCACGTCAGCTTTAAAAGATATTTTTTTTTATTGATACAATTTATCAAATCTGACAGCATCATCTGTGGGATGTCAAAGTGCATTGTGGTCAAAGCTTTCTTCTGGGGCTTCCCATCTTCAGATGTTACATAAAGTTTCTTTGCATTCAGATAAATCAATAATTTTAGTCAGAGCTCTCAGAACTGTGTGGCACAACACATTAGAGACCCGGCTGCAGTCTGAAGGTGTTTCATGCGGACATTAAACATAATAATTGTCAAACAAACCTCTGGTCTGCTAGTAGAATTACTGTGTCATAGAATTATGTTTCTCTAAAAAGTGTGTCACCAACAAGAACAGTTTAGAAAGCTCTGTTTTAAATCAGCTTTACAGCCACCAGTATTGTATGTCACCTTACCCCAATCTTGCAACATCCGTTTTAAATATTACCAAACAGTGTTGTAGACCAACAAGAACTTTAGCTCTGTTTTAAATCAGCTTTACAGCCAACAGTGGCCTCAACCTTCCTAATGCCACAACCCTTTTCAACAGTTCATCATGTTGTGGCGACACCCAATCATACAATTGTTTTCTTTGCTAATTCATAGCTTCCATGAATATGTGTTTTTGCGATGGTCTTTGGCGACACTTGTGAAAGAGTCACGCCCCACAGGTTGAGAACCACTGATGTAGTCAGATCCTTTGCAGAACATCACTCTCATCACTGTCTGCCTGAAAGAAACTTGCTCTCCCGCCAGCTGTCCTGCCCTGTTTCCTACCCAAGTTGTCACTTATATCTATGCCCATCTTAGCGCTGGTCAACCCCTGCCCCCTTTTCCCTGGTACTGTGCCTTCTAATATTATTTATTTCCATCCTCTGTGGCAGTTGATCTGACCAAAATATTTCAGTTTCTGAGACAAGTTGCTTCCAACGAAGATTTGAAGAAAAAAAAAAGATAAATGTAGCCTTTATTCCAGCTTTAGATTACGAGTGTCAGACTGGGACATCAACCACAAAGCACAGGAGAAAAACCAAGTACCCAGGAAATGAGATGTTTGAAAGGGGGCCGCCTCCGCAGTGAAGGTTTGCTGCGGGACACCCAGTGCTGACTTCTGTAATATTAACTATTGAGGCTCCGTACTGCTGTCCATATGCTACGGGAATGGGTTTTCGAAATTATAAACCTCCTCGTGTGGGGGCCCATTGTGGAGGGAGAAAAAAATAGACTCACTGCCCCCTAACAAACATGTCGTAAGAGACGACTAATTAGAGATATTTTCTTTGAAGTCTAAGTGCATCTGCCTGAGAGACATGGAACCGACAGTCTGCACACAAAGAAGCCAGGTGTCTCAAACGGAATGCGTGCAAAACTTGGCTTCTGGGACAAGACCAAAGTCCAGAAGTGGATGGAGTTTAAACCGGGAGAAAATAAGGAAGAAGGAGAAGAAACATAAAATTCACATGTACGGGGTCCCATACATCATAATTGTGACCACATAAATGGCAACCATATAAAGTCATGAGAAGTAAAGGCGGCTGGCAAAATCCTGTAGCTGTATGCTCAATACCTATAAAGGAGTGGGAAAATGGTCCTTTACTTGTTTGTTTAAGTCACCAAACAACCAATATCGTGTGAAAGGAGATACAGCTAACTTTACTTTTTGGATATAGATAAACAACATATTCGTAATGAGAATCGTCAAATGTTATGTAAAATTATCCTCCTGCCAGGCTCAGAAATGATGAACAAACAGAACGTTGCATTGAAGCTCAGGAAATGTACAAAACGTCGATAAATATGTGAAACAAATAAGCAACTACGGAAGTTTTAAAGAGATGGAATGAACAGACCTGCTGAAAGAACAAAATCAAAGAGATGTGGAAATTTCAGCGACACAAAACAAAACACACCGCCAAGTTCCTTGCCAGCTGGCGTGGGAGGTCAAGCCGGTCCAAAACTTGCGGTCTCCGCCAGAATGCATCAGCCCATGTGTTGACACCCCTCCGTGCCGTGACGAAAGGTTGTCAAGGATCTTCTTGTGCTGTCTTCCTCTGTCTCTCCTCGAATCTTGCCAGCTGTCACAACATATCCCAGTTTCTTTCATCTCGCAACCTGGCCAAAAGATTATCACTGTTCGTTTGTGATAATCCGTTTTCGGGTAAAAGACATTATCATATGCCTTGCCAAATGGCGTGGGCGATCATGCCTCTCCACAATCCGCTATCTTCAACTGCATGTATCAGTTCGTGTGTTGACAGTCCTGCATGCCACGACAAAAGGCTTTACAGATTCTTCTCACCTTTTCTTTCCCTCCCTCTGTCTCTTTCCATAGATGTTTTCCGTGGTCGGAATATTTTCTTTTTTCCTTCTTTCTATAACATTACCAACAAAGATGACTATGTGTTAAGGCTGTAGTTAAAAGGCATAACACTGTCCACACACACAAAAAAACAAAAAACAAAAAAATCCATCTTCTTCTTCACTAACCCTTGTACCGTTTCGGTGTTGAGGGAGATATAGGTTCTGGCTCTTGCTCTTTTGACCACCTCGAATATAAACCAGCCATGCTGTTGTCGAGTTTCTCTAATGTTATCTATCCATATTATAGATGGTTTACCTCTTGCTTTTCTGACCACCTCGAACATAAACCCACCATGCTGTTGTCGAGTTTCTCTAATGTTATCTGTCCGTCTTATAGTTGGTTTACCTCTTGCTCTTCTGACCACCCCGAACATAAACCCACAATGCTGTTGTCGAGTTTCTCTAATGTTATCTGCCCGTTTTATAGTTGGTTTACCTCTTGTTCTACGTCCCTCTCCTATTTTCGTGTTTGCCTTGTGTGGATGGCACACACACAAAATCAACACTAGGGAAAAGTTGAAGATAAGTGATCACAGTGTATAATAGACTGGCATGGAAGGATAACTGAGTTTAGTTGAGAACCGACACATAACACTCAGGACATTCCGAAAAACGCACCATCCCTATCTTCAGCAGCCAGCCCAGTTTCAATTCAGATAGTACCAGTAGCAGTGCTATTGTGTGACCGTCTTGACGTGTCCTTGAATGTTGATGTCGATCAGATTTGATTTGATTCAAGAACCGACATCACAGCACTCGGGTCATTCACATAAGCGCTCCGTCCCTATCTTCAGCAGCCGGCGAAGAGTTCTGATGCTAATGGTGCCAGTAGCATTCTGATTAAACGTCCGTCTTGCCTTTCCTCTGAGCCTCGAGCATCTGCCAGAACCTCTCGTCACTGCATCAATCTCACCAGACTGTGGTGATCCATCTGCTCCTCCAAACTGTACACGCTCTCCCACAAAGCCCTAACCACGTCTGCCCTATCATGTATCAGTATTCCACCAAGTTGTGCAGAGCCAGCCAGTCTGTCAGCCTGTTCATTTCCCAACACACCGGCGTGTCCCAGTTAAAAAATCCAGACAATACCCCTCACCGGTGTCCTCCGCAGCAAAGCATGCCACTCTGCACGAAGCATGCCTGTCCTGATCTTCCTCAGCATGCTTTCTGGGTCAGTTACAATCACGATGTGTGAGTGTCGTGTTCTCTAGCCAGCGGAAAGCTGCAGTGACCGCCTCCACCTCCATTCTTAAGCTGGATGTTATGGTATCATATGCTAGGCTCTTTTGCACCATACGTCGACCATTAGCTTTTGCTAAGAAGCCCCAAGCACTTATTTTGCCTCTTGACACTGAACCGTCTGTGTAAATAATCAAATCCCCTGAGGGAGCATTATCTTGAATTAATTGTTGAATTTCCATATCCGTGACACCTGCTGGCCAGTCTCTGCAATCCTGGCTCAGCGTGATTTTGACTCTACACAAGTCTGACTGTTCAAGTGGCACTTTGACCCACTCCTCTCCTCGCCTAATGTCGACCAGATGTGCTGATTATTCCTCCTGCTCCACCATTTGACAAACGTCGGTTTGTGGCGCGCACAAACAGGTTACAGACAGGTTCTAAGAATATCTTGGGTAAAGAAAAGAACAAATGCATCCATACTTCAAGAGCTGAATATTGAAGAGGGTTGGCTAGTAAAGACAATAAAACAAAGAAAATTGAAATATTTTGGTCACTTGAAACGTCATGGAGGTCTAGAGAGAACAATAATGGAGGGGTATATGCCTGGGAAGAGAGGAAGAGGAAGGCCAAGGAGAAGATGGGTGCAGGATGTGGCAGATGATCTCCAGATGGGTGTATCAGACGCAGGACATCTTGCTCATGATAGGAAGGTTTTCCGGAGGGTTGTTATGGCAGCGAGGTTCCGCGAGGGACATGCTACTGAATGAATGAATGAATGAACTGGTCCCCCGCTCCTATCTGCCTTAAAAACATCTTGTATGAGAGGATAACCCCAAGAGATGAACAAGTCTTAGAGTGCGTACAGTCTGGACGATAAACAAAGTGTTGGAAATCCGTTGCAACCAACCTTCATTTAGAGATGCCTTTTGATTTCCATTTTTTGCAAACAATACTTGCGCAAACAAAATTTGTGCGACCACATTTTTGCGTAGAGTTGTTTGTAGAGATTATGCTGACGTAAAGAACACAGCAGCGCTCATGGTAACAGAATCTCCAAGGCCTTCGTGAACAGATTCTGGACTAGTAAATGCTGCAGTGGCTTAAAATAGGAACCACGGAGGCCTTCGTTGGTTTCAAATGGATCGTTCCGTTCACTGCTCAGATGTAACGGGACAACGATCTATTGCCACATGGAACGGGGCACTTAATAAGGAAAATAACAATAGCAATGAAAACATATCAACAAGCAATGATAACGTGGGGCCAGTAATTCGGATTCTGGAAATCGAAGCAAAGATTGATAAAGAACCCACCCAGATAGATGAAAGTTCCTCAGCTGTTTTAAAATATAGAACACCCAATTTCAGGTATGTTTAAAATTGAGGTTTAGCTTATGTTTGTTTTGGGGGTTTCAGATTACTTGGTTCTGCACCGGTTGGTGGGGAATTTATGCACGACAAGCTGGAAGTGGTCAAGGCCCTTTGAGAGCAACTGAACAAAGCGCAGGCACGAATAGATCTTTATGGTCTGGAGGGAATAGTACAGCTGGGAGTGTCCAGGGGATCTGGTTCGACACTCTACACGGGGCCGCGTTAGCGCAGTCGATAGGAGACTCGCATTCCAAATCCAGCTGTGACTCACTGCGGCTCACGGCCGGTGTTCGAAACCAGGCGGTTCCCGGGGTTCACCCGGCCTCTAGGAAATGGGTACCAGAGTTAACAGTCTGGGGTGAATGGAGAAACGTCGCTGTAGCTACGGAGTTTCGGGCGGATGGCGACATAAGCAGTCAGTTTCTTATCAGCTGTCCATACTGGAGGCAAAGCACTTATGGTTTATAAAACCGTGTGCAATGACGCTGGTTCACATCTCCCCGACTTTACCTTTACCTTTTAGACTGTTCCTGACGCCATCAACGTTGGAAGATGGGAACCAACGCTAATGGGAATGTCGCGAGGGCTAGGATGGAAGTTCTTAGTTCAACACTCAACATTTCGGGCATTTCTAAAACTTATGCAGCGTGGAGTGGTATTTTCCTGTGTGGGTTCCGGGGCTCTAATTTTTATGGGGGTGAAAGAAATAGATCAGCTGTCCCCTAGCAAGCATGTCGTAAGAGGCGACTAATTCGGCATTTTCTGAAATTGGATTTGCTGAGTCGAAATAAGCAGACATCACAACCTAGCTATGAGCCGCAACACAACGCGCCAACCACCATTTTAAGGAAGAAAACAGAAGTAGGATTCTATTTTTTTAAAAAATCGCAGCTTAAACAATATAGGGAAACTAAACCAAAAGAATTAACAACATAGAAGTCGGTTCAAGGTTACAACTGACACTCAGTGAAGTATGGCAGAGATGATTCATTCATTCAGGATGAACCCTGTCGATAAGCTAAGCCGGTCGTGATGCGCCATCTCACACGATCAACAGAATCATGAAGCGTGCCAGTGTTATTTTCCTGCCTATGCCATATGGTCGATCCAACCAGGTATTTGTGTCTCTGACGTCCCCTTTGCTCTTTTTCTATCACGTTTGTCACCGATAGACGCGGAAATATCGCGATTTCACTTCATATTATCAATAAATAGATCGGCACTCACAGAAAGACTGTCTAGTTGGCCATTTGTACACTTGCTCCTACAGCCAGGCGCTGTCGTCTTTTTGAGGTAACAAGTTCGATTCTCGCTATGGTGAACACAAGGGGAATTAACAAAGTCTTAGAAGTTGTTTATGTTGGCTAGTATTTCCGTCTATCCTTCTACTTTTCATCATGAGAGCCGACCATACATGCCTTTTTGTTTATTACATATGATTCTCTCCATGCTATATAGATTTCGTTTTAACATACGGCTAAAAACCCCTGGACAATTATTAAACAAGGCAAACAATTTATTGAGGCCTTGGAGATTTGATTTTGCAGTCGTCATTTTTTGATCATGTTCTTCATGAGAAGAGAGAAACTGGAAAAGATATGTAAAAGGGACAGAAGAAATCAACGCGAGACGATTATCCCCTTTTGTCGTGGCATGAAGAGACAGCACACGAACAGATACATTTTGTTGAAGACCGCAGATAGTGGAGAGGCTTGTCACCCACGCCCGTCGGCAAGGCACGTGATTCTGATGATGATATATACTGTTTCCATGGCCTCAACGACTTTCTTTGAGCACCTGAAACGAGCGATGTCATTAATGCAATCCTTTTTTTTTTAAACCGGGTCGGTCTCCCAAATACCCGGCCTGGCCACCCAACTACCAGAAGGATATTACGTCGGTTATCCAGGCTGAGTCGGCTCTGTGGCTAAGTCGATGCGAACGCTTCGTAATGCCGAGATGCCAGGTTCGATCCCATCCGCGGGCCATACGCCTTGTGTTGGTTTCGACAATAGTATCAAGAAAGCCGACCGTCCAGACGCAATGGCAAACTACTGGACGTAAATTTGCCTAGAAAAACCACGCAACAGCCAGGGACTGTTGGGGTTGGTTCTGCAACGTCCTGTAAAGGATACACAACTAACCTTCATGCCGTTTGGGTTTCACCCGTGACTTGGTTGAGAGCGATCCGTGTCCCCTTGGCCAGACCAGTACAGCAGAGCTACACTTTGATGTTAGCCAAAAGGCCGAGAAGCGATAGATAAATGCAATGCTAGATGTATATCACGAAGAAAATATGACAACAAGCAAGATCAGTATCCTTGTCCATCTTGGTAGACATGGAGTTAAAACTTGGAGTAACCAGACATGAACTTTTCACAAAGGGAACAATGCGTCTGATAAATCAACACAAAGCAAGCGCGATCAGTCATTTTACTTTTGTGGAGCTAGTTAGTTAGTTAGTTAGTTAGTTAGTTAGTTAGTTAGTTATGGACATACCCATGGGTGCTCAAATCCTCCCCTCAGTATAATCCCTAACGTCCCATGGCTAATAGTACCAGTTCTATGTTGATTACCGAGTCCTCTGGCGTGTCTGGTGTGCGTCTCGTTTTTTGCTGTGCCGATCTTAATACCCAAGTCTGCAATTCTGGCGAGTGATGTGGATTCACTGCCACCAAAGTCGTCTATCCTTCCCATTTCTCTGAGGGCATTGATAATATCAGCATGATCCATTGGCTGACCGTCGGTAGTGATAGCGGATCCAGCCAACCTGTCAGCTCTTTCATTCCCATCGACGCCTGCGTGTCCCGGAACAAAAATAAAGGTGACTCCACGCACAGTGGACTTCTGTAATGATTCAAGCCATTGTCTTCGCACTATACCTGCCTGAACCCTCCGGATCATTGAATCACTGAGTATGTACGCGGGTGTATTTTTGTGTTTCAAGCCAGGCAAACGCTTGCGTCACTGCCATCACCTCCATCGTCATGCTGCTGGTTGTCATGGAAAAGGCGCCGTTGGCTTCTTTGACTGTTCTGTCCGCTGAGCGTGCTGTGAATGCCCATGCGCTTCTTTTTTGGCTTATAATGAATCCGTCTGTGTAGATTAGTGCATCTGCTTCGTCTGAATTTTCACCGATGAGAGCGTTGACCTCTGCATTAACAGCAACAGGATTCTCTTCTCTACTTCGCTTGTTGGGTGTGACAATACAGGATAATGTACAAATAAACGCCTGAGGCACAGGTATCCATTCTGCACCAGGTATAATGTCGGTTAGGCTGCATATTTGCCTAATAACATCTTCTGCCCGACCTAGCCACGATTTCCCCCTCTTCAGTCTGTCACCCTTTTCACGAAAAAGCGCTTGATGCAGTGGGTGTTTCTTATCAACACATATTTAAAGGTATTCCCGAGCCCTCCACATCCTGATCCTTGGGTTCATTGTTAGAAAGTCAAGTGTTGTGGAGCTATTCATGGGGAAACTGGAGTACCTATGAACCTGCCCGGAGTGATGTGGTGGTGGTCCTAATTCATTACCAATGGCTCCCTGTCTGTTAGTTTCTGTCTACCCCACTTCTGCAGCCATCAGGGGCAGATAACCATCTCTGTAAACTTATTCGCACCGCTGATAACGCGATTTGTAGTTCAGGGGTGCTGGGTTCGATCCAAGCTGCGGGCGATCTGGCAGCAGACTTTCTTGCGCTGGTTTCGACAGTGGTATCGACAGCCGACCATTAACTGACCCATGGTCTGACATTCTCCCACAGGGCCAGTGCAACAGTAGAGATCTCACCCTTCTCTGACAACGAGGCGTGGAAGGTCGGTTGGATTCAAGCATGCACGGATATGACATTTCACAATACCTATGGCAAGGAGGGATAGTAAGTTGTCTAGTCTGTTTGTAGCCACTCTTTCTGCAGTTAGGTCGTCAGTTTTGGTAATGTTTTTTTTTTTTTTTTTTTTTTTTTTTTATTTTTTTTTTACCGATTTTTATTTTTGCGGTAGCGCTGTTGACACCAGGGTCGAAAAGATTGTGTGTGTGTGGGGGAGGGAAACTGAAATATTTCGGCTAAATCAGCTCTTAGAATACATAACACTCTTATAAATACGATACGGGGCGGGAAATTTGAAATCAAGAGAGCAAGAAGCCGTCAGCGATACAAGTGGGAGGACGCCATCAAGAGATGGACGAACCGCAGTCTCAGAAAGCATTCATCCAGGATGAGAGAAAGAGAATGTTGAGAATCCTTCGTTGTGGAGACGGCACCTGATTGATTTATCAGCTGGAACTGATTACTAGTCCAACCAAGTTTACAGAGCCTGGGGCAAGTTTGTCCAGGGTTTGTTCTCCTTTGGCGAATACAAGGCGGCAGCAGCGGAAAGAAAAAAAATAAGAGAGAGAGAGAGAGAGAAAGAAAGAAAGAAAGAAAGAAAGAAAGAAAGAAAGAAAGAAAGAAAGAAAGAAAGAAAGAAAGAAAGAAAGAAAGAAAGAAAGAAAGAAATGTACTAGGGCGGAGAAAGCCCTTAGTACTAAGATAAAAAAAAAAAAAGAAGGAAAATAGTTCGTTTAGGTGGGGACTAGAAACAAGAATATTCTAGTCCAGGCAAGAGATGTTCTGTGTAAAGTCTAATATAGTCCAGGTAACGAATAAACTAAATTAAAAACATAAAACTAAACTAGGAAACTACTTACAAATCCAAAGCTGAAGAAAACAACTGTAACTATGAATACAACGTTGAACATAATTTTTATTTAACTTCACATCAGCATGGCCAAAAGTAACGACATAAACGACCACGTGCTGGAACAAAACCTCAAATATACAGCAATTTACCATTTAACTATTCCTTGTCTAGAATACCAATGAAAATCTATTTTAACCAACTAACCACTGAACGTACCCTCGACTGCCATCAGTCCGACCACGAACATTACCTGTGGTCGCCATACCTATAGACCGGCCCATTGTGCAAAGCATCAGTCTGCTAGGTTCGGCTTCCACAGGTTGGTCCGGAAGTCAAAACAGGCTTGAAACTGCCAGTCGGCCGTTTAAATACCCCATGGGCTGATTTTTTTCCATCTTCCGGTCAAATTTATTAGTTAGTTCCGGTGGCCTTTTAACCATTTTAAAACCAGAATAAATCTTAAGATCTTTAATCTGCTGTACTGTAGTCTCCGTCGCTTCCACCCTGTTACAGAAAGAAAGAAAGAAAGAAAGAAAGAAAGAAAGAAGAAAGAAAAGAAAGAAAGAAAGAAAGAAAGAAAGAAAGAAAGAAAGAAAGAAAGAAAGAAAAAGAAAGAAAAAGAAAGAAAGAAAGAAAGAAAGAAAGAAAGAAAGAAAGAAAGAAAGAAAAGAAAGAAAGAAAGAAAGAAAGAAAGAAAGAAAGAAAGAAAGAAAGAAAGAAAGAAAGAAAGAAAGAAAGAAAGAAAGAAAGAAAGAAGGCACCAGCATAAGATAAGAGAAGGAAATAGGAGAGAGAGCAGAAGAAAATAACAAAGGCAGTTGTAGCAGGAAAGGAAATGGCAGCAAAGCAGCAGTAGTAGTGACAGAAGCAGTAATAATAGTAGTAGTAGCAGCAGAAGCAGTAGTAGTAGTAGCAGCAGTAGTAGTAGTAGTAGTAGCAGCAGAAGCAGTTTCAGCTGCTGCAACAGCAGCATCAGAAGGAGAAGAAAAAGAAGAAGAAGAAGAAGAAGAAGAGAGGAGAAGAAAAAGAAGAAGAAGAAGAAGAAGAAGAGAAGAAGAAGAAGAAGAAGAAGAAGAAGAAGAAGAAGAAGAAGAAGAAGAAGAAGAAGAAGAAGAAGAAGAAGAAGAAGAAGAAGAAGAAGAAGAAGAAGAAGAAGAAGAAGAAGAAGAAGAAGAAGAAGAAGAAGAAGAAGAACAACAACAACAACAACAACAACAACAACAACAACAACAACAACAACAACAACAACAACAACAACAACAACAACAACAACAAGAACAAGAATGTGACACAGAAGGATGTGAAGAACATTATTTTTGACATATCAAAATATCATGTAATCCTTTATTTTACCCCCCCCCCTCCCCTTTTCTACCCCCCCCCCCTAAAGTTGATTTCGCTGACCATTGTCCATCTGTACTTTCATCAGCACCAGCTGGGAATTCCCAGAGCTAACATCGGGCAAGCAGACGATGATCTCCGACTGTGACGGGCGCCATTACCCCTGGTACGGCTCCCGGAATGAAACGGTCATCTTCAAAGGGCCCTGTGACCGCTACCAAACGGCCACTGTGTACATGAACGATAACTTCCATCCACACGTCACCTGGCGCAATCCGGCCAACCGGCACCAGTTGGAACCGAACCTTACCCATATCATCCGAGACCAGAGCTTTTATGTGTGGCTCGTTGCCTGGAATATGGTGACCATGAAAAGTTTCGTCATGCAGGTGAGCATCCCATAATTTCAGAGATCTTGTATATCTTTATTAAATAGTGGTACAGTACTAGGTTCACGGTAAACGGATCATCCCTGACCTGCTCCATTCATGTACCTGCCAAACCTACACAGAATACCCCCTGAGGTTCTTTGTTTGTAGGTATTTGTGTGTGTATGTTTTTGTGTGTGTGTGTGTATGTGTGTGTATGTATATGTGTGTGTGTTTATTTGTGTGTGTATGTTTTTGTGTGTGTGTGTGTATGTGTGTGTATGTATATGTGTGTGTGTTTATTTGTGTGTGTACGTATATGTGTGTGTATGTATATGTGTGTGTGTTTATTTGTGTGTGTATGTATATGTGTGTGTATGTATGTATATGTGTGTGTATATATGTGTGTGTATGTATATGTGTGTATGTATTTGTGTGTGTGTATGTATTTGTGTGTGTATGTATTTGTGTGTGTATGTATTTGTGTGTGTATGTATTTGTGTGTGTGTGTATATGTGTATGTATGTGTGTAACTGAGGGGTGGAGTGGACAGATACTACAGACCCGGTCAAGCCAACAGTATGAAATTTATTTAAAAAAGTGAAGCACCCTTGACCACGCCTTCTGGCGCATTGGGCATATAAGGCTAGACCAATATTTATAGACAAATCAGTACTTATTGGGTGATGTGGTCAGCACCACACTGGTCTCCTTTACTTCCCATGACTACCTGTAACCCATTCTAGGCTGGGTTAACCTGGGAGTCAATGTAATTAGGACTCGAACCCACGACGTTCCGATCCGCAGGCGAGGGTCAAACTCGACGGCCCCCAAGCCAGTAGCATAAAGGAAAAGGAGGCTTTCCACACCTTTAGGCGAATAGGGCATTTCTCTCTCTCTCTGTCTCTCTCTGTCTCTCTCTCTGTCTCTGTCTCTCTCTGTGTCTCTCTCTGACTCTCTCTGTCTCTCTCTCTCTCTGTCTGTCTGTCTCTCCCTGTCTCTCTCTCTGTCTCCCTGTCTCTGTCTCTCTCTGTCTCTCTCTGTGTCTCTGTCTCTCTCTCTCTCTGTCTCTCTCTCTCTCTGTCTTTCGTTGTCTCTGTCTCTTTGTCCCTTTCTCTATCTCTCTCTGTCTCTGTCTCTCTCTGTCTCTCTCTCTCGGTCTCTGTCGCTCTCTGTCTTTATCTCTCACTTTCTCTCTCCTTGTCTCTTTCTGTCTCTCTCTGTCTCTCTATGTCTCTATCTCTCTCTCTGTCTCTCTCTGTCACTCTCTCTCTCTGTCTCTGTGTCTATGTCTCTCCCTCTGTCCCTCTCTCTGTCTCTATCTGTCTCTCTTTTTGTCTCTCTATGTGTCTCTCTCTGTCTCTCTGTGTGTCTCTCTCTGACTCTCTCTGTCTCTATCTCTCTCTGTGTCTCTCTTTTTCTCTGTCTCTCTGCCCCTCTCTCTCTATTTCTCTCTGTCTCTCTCTGTCCTTCTGTCTCTCTATGTCTCTCTCTCTGTCTCTGTCTGTCTCTCTCTCGGTCTCTCTTTGTCTCTCTCTCTGTCTCAGTCTCTCTTTCTGTCTCAGTCTCTCACTCTGTCTCTCTATCTCTCACTTTCTCTTTCTCTCTGTCCTTGTCTCTTTCTCTGTCTCTCTCTCTCTCTGTCTCTCTATCTCTCACTTTCTCTTTCTCTCTGCCCTTGTCTCTTTCTCTATCTCTCTTTGTCTCTGTCTGTCTATCTCTGTCTCTATCTCTCACTCTCTCTGTCTCTCTCTCTCTCTCTCTCTGTCACTCTCTATGTCTCTGTCTCTCTCTCTCTCTGTGTCTATGTCTCTCTCTGTCTCTATCTCTCTTTGTCCTTCTCTGTCTCTCGGTCCTTCTCCGTCTCTCTCTGTCCTTGTCTCTTTCTCTGTCTCTCTCTGTATCTCTCCCTGTCACTCTCTCTCTCTGTCTCTATCTCTCTCTGTCTCTCACTCTCTCTCTGTCTCTCACTCTCTCTCTCGCTGTCACTGTCTGTCTCTCTGTGTGTCTCTGTCACTCTCTGTATCTTTCTCTGTGTCTATATCTCTCTCTGTCTCTTTCTCTCTCTGTCTCTCTCTGTGTCTATCTCTCTCTCTCTCTGGCTCTCCCTCTGTCCCTGTCTTTGTATATGTCTCTCTCTCTCTCTGTGTCTATGTCTCTGTGTCTCTGTTTATCTCTCTGCCTCTCTCTCTCTCTCTCTCTCTCTCTCTCTCTCTCTCTCTCTCTCTCTCTGACTACTGTTAGTTCATCGAACATGTATAACAGTCGACATCACTGCATGCTGTTTCTTCCTTTTTTAAATTTCAATTTTAGTTTTTTTTTTAATTCCTAACCTCTCCAAATCTTTCTGTGTGTTTTTGTTTCCATGAAATACGACATTTTCATCTGTATGTCTACACCAAAAGGGCATCAATTTGAGTTTCTGCCA